GTAAAGATGCCTGTTTGGGGGAGGGGAAGTGTGGGCAGACAGGAAGACGATGTCATACTCACTTGGGCCTTTGGGCCTGGATCTCTATTGGCGTCATTATCATCTCTGGACACAGTTTGGGAATCCTTTGCCTTCCTCGCCCCAGATTTCTTCCCAGTGCTGCTGTTCTTGGAGTGTTTGGGTGCCAAGGTGAGCAACGAGTAGCTCTTGGACCTCCCGAGCAGGGGAACACCAGCGATTGGGGGGAAGGTGGCTGGCTCCAGGGGAACTGCTGACAGTCTCTGCCCCCATGGAGGAAATGCTCTTCCCAGGGCCATGTTTGAGGCGGCCCCTAGTAACTTCTTCTCCTGGGCCACCTTCTTCTTAGGAACGGCCCGGGGCAGGCTGCCCACGGTGGCAGCAGCAGCAGCTCCTGGGAAGCTGGGCCCGCTGCCTGCCTTCCCCGACACCACACTCTGCATTTTCTTCGAGGAAGAGCTGTCCAGCTCTCCAACGGCCTGCCTTCCCTTGCCTGAAGTGAGTCCTCGGGAAGCAGAGGTCAAGAGAGAGCCTGGCGTGGGAAGGAAGTCCTCCCTGACAAGCAAACTCGAGTGTCTGGGTGTGTCCCCGGGATCCTCGGCGCTGCTGGGCTCGCCCGGGTCTCCTCCTTTGGGGTAAATGCTCACCCTCATCGGCACCTCACTGATCTCACTTTGTGACTCGGGGTCGGAAGGCAGCTCGACCAGGCCTACCACGGAGGGCCGCTGGGGAACCCTGCCGCCCGCGCTCTGCTTACTTTTAGCGCCTCTTTTCTGGTTCCCGCGGGCCCGGACTTTCCGGGGCGCCATGACGGGGGGAGGGGCGGCAGAGGCGGCCAGGGCGCCTCGACCACTCAGACCTGCCCCCAGGTCCGGCCACACGGTGGACACTTGGGCGTCGCGACCCTCTGAGTACGGGTGTCTGCGGATGCCCCGGATAGCCCAGTCGCTCAGCAGCTGCATGATGGCCATCGATTTGTCAGCCAGGAGGGACTCGTAGTCTAGATCGTCCCCCATCTCGTCAGTCGGGGTGCAGGGGCGGCCTTCCCGGCCCCAAAGCACAGTCCTTCCCTCCTCTATCACTTGCTGCTCAGCCTCGAAGCCCTCGGGGTCTGCCAGCGCTCCCAGCGCTCCTTCACCCTCGCAGCTCTGCGGCGTCCCCACATCGAGGCCTAGGCCGGGGCCCCGCGGGCCTCCGGGGCCGGCCTGGCTAACGCTGGCCCGCTCCCCGCCCTCCAGGCTGAAAGTGGCCTCCGAAACAGACACCTCATCAGGGGAACTCATGTCGCCGGTTGGATCAGCTCAGGTAGTAGGCAGATGGTTGTCTTTGTCAAGGCAGGAGAGCCCCCACAGGTTCGCCTCAGGAGCAGCGAGGCCTAAGAGGACGCCATTGCCTCAGGCGCACCACGAGATGGCGTCAAACATCCGAGCTGCTGAATACATGGCTTCTCAACGTCGCTGCCTTCTCATTGGTTCGCTTCTGTGCGTGCTCCACTGCATCCCTCTTGATGCCGCGTCCTTCTGATTGGTTCGCCTCCCCTAGCCCCCACTAACCAGTGCAGCCCTTGTTTGACCATCTCTCGGGCCCCAACCAATAGGAACGAGGGTGGTTGGTTTGCAGGGAAGCCAGTAGTTTGGCTCATTGGGATCCCGTTATGTCACAGGGTCCTGGCCTCGCGCACTCGTCCCACCTCTTTCTCGCTGTCCCTCTGCCAGGCATCTGCTTTCACACTGAGAGCCACGTCTCTGAGCCTCAGTTTCCAATCTGTAAAGTGGGCTAAGTGACAGCACCCAGCTCAAGGGTTTGTGAGGGTCAACGATGGATGTGAAGCACCCAGCGCACAAAGGATTTGCATGGCTCTATTCCACAACACTTGCCACCCGATAGGAAGCCCACAGTCAGTAATCAGAGGATTCACGGTTTTCTTTTCCATGTCTTTGAAAAATTCCCTTGCTGCTTCTCAGATTGGATAATTTCAGTTGACCCTTCTTGAAGTTCACTGATTCTTTGCCTACTCAAAACTACAATTGGCCCCCTTGGTGGGTTTTTCATTTCAGTTATTGCTCGTTCAGCTCCATAATCGTGCTTCGGTTCCTTTTTATAGCTAGTGTCTTTTATTTATATTGTCTATGTGGTCATGTATTATGCTTCTTCTTTTATTGAGTTCTTTGAGTGTATTTGAGACAATGAAGTTAACCTCTTTGTTTACTACGTCCAAGGTCTGTGCTTCCACAAGCACAGTTTCTGTTAATATCTTCTGTGAATTCGCCATCCTCATGGGTTTTTTAATTTTTTTTTATTTTCGCATGCTTATTTTGTTGTTAACAACGAAATTTTGGGTATTGTAATAGGGTAACTCTGAACATCATATTCCAGGATTTTTTTTTCTTGGTGTGGAATGTACCTGTTTATTTGTTGTTTTCTCATCTATTCTTGTAATTTGTATTCTTTGTCATGTGTGCTTTCTGAGTCTGCGTTCCTTTAGTTCGTGTTCAGCTAGTGTTTTGATTGAAACATCCTTGAATGCTGAGCGCGGGAAGGGGCAGGAGGTAGGAACAGAGGAGGAAAAGAAGGAAGAGAAGGAAGAAGAAAGAAGAATGAGGAAGAACAACAAAAGCTTCTTTCAGTCTTTGTGTCGGGAGCTGTCCTGAACACGGGAGATTCTAGGCATGGCTGCTGCCCGGAACACTAGGGTCTTCAATGACATGGCATCTGCCCTGAATCAAAGCTCTGACATTTTGACCTTTCTCCTTGACTACGGAGGATATTGGAAATACAGCTGCAGTCATAGAAAGTCACTGAGGTAATCAGTTGCACGTAGTTCTCTTTGAATAGTGCGCCCTGTAGGCCTAAGTATTCTTTACCCTAGGCAGCCCTGTTAGTCATTCCTGATTGTTCTTTACCCTGGGCTGCCTTGACTAATTAGTCAGGTATTTATAGCCCTACTGATCTTAGAAAAAGTTAAGGTTTAGATTAGGTGATGAGAAAATTGCTCAACCGATAGAAAATCCATGAAGTCAGTTTATGGCCCAAAAAACGAGAACTATCCAGTTTCTGAACTAATGTAAGCACGTATCAATTGTTGTCTTGTATTAGTTTCCTTTTGATATTGTTTGTATAAATGTAGCCCCTAAAATAAATGCGGCAGGGCAGTCCTCACAGACTCCATCCTCCCGTTCCCATCTGTGTGTTGTCTCTTTATTTCTTATCCTCACCCCCTAACTCCAGGTGCCGCACATTGCCGGCTGGCTCCGGCATCTTTGCATATTTGTTCTATCCTTGGGAATTTGTTCAGTGCTCAACCAGGCCATTTAAAACTCCACCATAGACTTCACTTCTTGCTTGCACTGAGACTAGAGAGCAGCCAGACTTGAGAGTTTAGGGTCTTTTCAGGACTTCTCTAAGCATGCATCTAGCCCTGGACACGCACATGGCTTTCTAAATTCCCCAGTAAACATGGACAATTTTGAATGATCTAATTTCCCCCCTCCCAAGCTTTTCCTCTTAAGCTTTGAGGACTCTTTGGACTAGCCCAGGACAGACTAGAACAGACAAAATTATTTGAGGTAAGTCAGCTGGGCTTCCTTCAGAAGCAGGGACCAGAGTCTCACACTGGGAATGTAGACTGAGTATAAAGAAATGCCAGTGAGCCAGCCGGGGTCCCAGGGTACGGATGAATAAAAATGCCACAATTCTTACATAGAATTGTTAGATTGCCCTTTTTTTAGTTGAACATTTACTTGGTTGCTGTAAACCCTAATTATTTACTTTTTGTTGATGTTTGGATGCTTTCATACAGGGACTGATGGTTGAAGCTATCTGCTTCACCACGTTTACAGATGTTCATGCAAACAAAGCACCCTCGTCCCTATTGGTTGGGGCCTGAGAGGCTGCCAAACAAGGAGCGCGCTGGATGGTGGGGGCTGAGGGAAGCCAACCAATGAGAAGGCCGCGGCGCCCAGAAGGCGGGCGTTGAGCAAGCTTGGAAGCCTCGAGCTTTGTTGCATTGTTTGAGGCCGTCACGCGCGAACACTGAGGCAACGGCGTCGCTCAGCCGGTTAGCCGGTTAGAGGTCGTTGCTCCTGAGGCGGGCGAGTGCTAGGCTCTCCCGCCGGGAACAGGGCAACCATCTGCCTTCAGCCCCGGCAGATCGACCCAGCGACATGAGTTCCCCCGATGAAGTGTCTGTTTGTGGGGCCGCTTTCGGCCTGGAGGGTGGGGAGCAGGCCAGTGTCCCCCTGGCCGGCCCTGGAGCCCCGCGGGTGCCCGTCCTAGGCATTGATGTGGGGGCGCCGCGGAGCGGCGAGGGCGAGGGCGGGCTGGCAGACCCCGAGAGTTTCGAGGCTGAGCAGGAAGTGATAGAGGCGGGAGGGGCCGTGCTTTGGGGCCGGGAAGGCCGCCCCGGCACCCCGACCGAAGAGAAGGGGAACGAAGTGGACTTGGAGTCCCGCCAGGCTGACGAGTCTGTGGCCATCGTGCAGCCGCTGAGCGACTCGGCTGGCCGGGGCGTCCGCAGACTCCAGTCCTCAGAAGGCCGCGATGCCCAAGGGTCCACCGTGTGGCCGGACCTAGAAGCAGGTCCCAGTGTTAGAGGCGCCCTGACTACCTCTGCTGCCCCTCCACCGGTCATTGTACCCCGGAAAGTCTGGGCCCGCGGGAAACCAAAAAGAGGCGCTAAAAGTAAGCTGAGCCTGGGCTGCAGGGCTTTCCAGCAGCCCTCCGTGGAAGGCCTGGTCGAGCTGCCTTCCGACCCCGAGTCACCAGATGAGTTCAGTGAGATACCGATGAGGGTGAGCATTTACCCCAAAGGAGGAGAGACAAGGGCGAGCCCAGCAAGGATCCCGGGGAAACACCTAGACACTCGAGTTTGCTTGTCAGGGAGGAATTCCTTCCCATGCCAGGACCTTCTTGACCTCTGCTTCCCGAGCACTCACTTCAGGCATGGAAAGGCAGGCCGTTGGAGAGCTGGACAGCTCTTCCTCTAAGAAAATGCACAGTGTGGCTCTTTTCTTGACCCAAACAGTCCAGGCACACCAGCACTGGGAAGAAAGAAATCTATGGCTAGGAAGGCAAAGGATTCCCAGCCTGTGGCCAGAGATGATAATGACCCCAATAGAGATCCAGTCCCAAAGCCTGAAATAAGTAGCCCATCCTCTTCCTGTCTGCTCACACTTCCCCTCCCCCAAACAGGCATCTTTACTCTGTCCTTTGCTCAAGGCCTGTCCTTGTGAGTCCACGGTCATTAGGATGCCCCATCGGGGCCATCTTAGTAGGGGCACACATTAAGAGAGCACTTGGTACGTGCCTGGCACTGTTCTTGACCTATTTCAGGTTTCCTGCTCCTCCCCAGAGAGGAGCTGGGCTGGCACTGATTTGGGTGAGATGATCCTTTCCAGTTTGGGCTGCAAAGCTTGGGTGTCTAGACTCATCAGCCTCCTGGCTCCCCCTTCCTAGCTGTTCCCCAACTATGCCTGGAAGGGGGCCTGGACTGTCTCAGCATCCCCCTGTTTTCTCTGGCTGAGACCTGCCTGCCAGCCTGGGACTGAATAAGGGAGAAAGTGCTAATGAGATTATCACCGCCAAATGCCCCTCCTTTCTGTCCACCTCCTCCCATCCCCTGCACATACATGCTCACACTCACACGCCCTGGCCCAGCTCTAACAAAGTTTTCTTTCAGCTTCCAACGCCCAGGCCAGGGCCACCTTGCCTGCACATGCATCATGGAGAATTCAGCAGTGGGGACCCCAACACCAGAGCCCCCCATGTTCCGGGAAACTCACGGGCCTGGGCCTTGAGCCAAGGAGGCGTCACACCCAGAGGCCAAGCACCCTCTAGTGAGTCTGTGGGTTTGGTAGACGTGGAGGGGAAATGGGTGGAAGAAGACAACATCTGGCTGTGTCACTTCTGGGGGCTCAGCTTTGTTCCGAGGCTTCCATGCCTACCCTGGCAGCTCTCCCATAGGAAAGGGAGTGTCACCAAAGCTGTGGTGGGCGTGATTTGTAGCAGCACCCCAAACTCTGACTCCAGAACTAGACTCTAACCAGAACTGAGTCTTTTAAGTGAAGTCCTGTTCAACCCCATCACTCCTCCCAGGCCCAGCTGTGGCTGCAGCTGTGCTAGCGTCCAACCCAGAGCCACAATGCTAGGGGGCCACAGGCACAGATGGCCTGACACTGGGGAACAAGAACAGGGAAGGCAGGCCCAGAGACAAGGCTGCAGCTGCTGGGCCGAGCAGGAGCCACTTGCTGCCAGCAGAGGGTGATGGTGCCTCACTTTAGACCCCTGCATGCCCTGTCCTCCTCCAGGCTGGGAGGCTTGGAAGCTGGATTCTGTGTTGTCTTTCAGGTGACCAGGAGCCATCTGTGCATGCCCCAAGACGGGAAAGGCAGCAGCAGCCACCAGGATCACAGGGCTGTGTTCGGGTAATGCCTAGTCTTGCTCCTAGAAATTTAGTTTCTAACTAGATGGTGGGATCCGTGTCCAGGTTAAAGTGACTTCTGTGTCGTCCCCTCCTCCTCCCATCCCACACCAACTAGAGAGAGGGGTCCTGCTTTCCACTGAGGATTCCTTGCTGCTCTGGCCACTGGGCTGTGGGCGGTGGCACATGTTAGGGCCACAGGCAAGAGGGAGGACGAGGAGAGAGGAGGCCAGAATACACTGATCATTTCTCTTCCTCCGGTGTCCGCTGTTCTAGTGTGCCGAGCTGCAGAGAGAGAGAGACGACATTAAAGAGCAACTAGGTATGATGAACCCCTGGCTCGGGCTGGGGCAGGGGTTGAGACAGACCAAGGTATATTGCCGCAGGTGCTGGGAACAAGGGGCAGGGATGGGCTGCAGGTGACGGCGGCATCCCTGGCAGCAACGTTCCCGTGGGAAGGAGAACCAAGGGGGACTGGCCCCGGAACCTTGTATGCACTCACAGCCAGGGGTGTGCACGGATAGAAATGTATCGGCTCGCTCTGTGTACACTTTGCCAAGGAATCCCACAGGGCTCCTTCCCTTAGCACGTTTAGCGCCACCTCCTTTATTTCCCCCTTCCCTGCTTGGTATGGCTTGTAGGGGTTTTATTGTTGTTTCTTTGTTTGTTTGTCCTTTTAACACGTTCTGAATGGTTCTGGTGTGCCTCAGGGTTTGAGAAGCACTGGTACAATGTGTTCCCGTTTAGAAGACAGTCTTACGTTTAATTCAGGTGGTGGGGCGTTAGTGGGTCCCAGGGCTGCTTGGACAGGGGCTGCTGAGGTTTCAGGATGTAGGGCTGGGCGGTTGCCCTTGGGAAAAGGGGAGTGGGTCTCCGTATCCCTATGTGTGGAGTGTCTGGTTACGCCTCTCTATTCCAGTGGCCATGCAGGGCCTGGCTGACAAGTTCTAGACCCTTTGACGTGAGTGAATGAGTGTTACATGTACCATTCCTCTTCCTGAGAAGCTGCTGACTTTGTGGGACTGTGGGCCGGCCCTGGCTCGTGGCCGGATACTGACCATTCTCTGTTTGACAGGTTGAATCCAGCCTCGTCCTACAAGACAAGCAGCTGGTATGTTTGGAGCTCAGGAGCTACAGCCAAGTTGGTTCCCTTTGTTTCTTTTTCAGCAACAACTTCCTCTTACCCCCTGCTCTTGTCCTCTCCTCACCCCAGTTTACAGCAAATTATCCAATTAAAGTAGCTCTCATATTAAAGTAGCTCTCGTCTTCTGTAGTCTCCCCTCTTTCTGGGGGGGAGGGGGTGTTGCAAGGGAGGGGAGGGATGGGGGCAGCAGGTCCATTTGGAGCATTTTAAGCCCAGTCACTAGGCACCTGTGCTGGGCCTTCTCCCTGCGGGTCGTCTGGGCCAGGATCTGGGTGGCAGCCCCGTGCTCAGGCTCACCCTGCCCAGTCACATCAGCAGGCCCTGTTCATGGTCCCTCCCAATATCCTCCAACTTGGGGGTCTCACGGTTCCCAGTCTGTGCGTCTGTGTCGCTCCTCCCCCCCCCCCTTCAGCAGGAACTATTGACCTCCTGCCAGAGATCCCACCACTCTTTGCCTCCTCAATGGTTCGCTGTCCTGGTTCTCCCCCCTCGCCCTTCTTTTCTGTCACGAGCATCCTTGGTCTCTCCCATGGCTTCATGCCCCTGGCCTTTCCCGCACAGGTCATTGCAGCAGGTGTTAAAGAGCACGGTTGACTCCTCCCAGCCGGCCCCGGTCTCTTTCTGGAGTCACGCTCTCCCTCTGGTGCCACCACGTACACGCACAGCTCGGCCAGGAACCCAAGCACCATCCTCAGTTCCTCTGTAGCCCTCACCTTTGACACTCGCTTACCAAACCCCGGGAGTTCTCCCGCTTACTTGCAGTGGAGGGGTGGAGCGAAAGGGGAGCTGCAGGGAGCAGGGGAGAAGGGAGCAGGTTGGTCTCCGGGCTGCAGGTGGGGGACTGAGTGCGCTCTGCTGCTCGGGGCTCGCGGCTCTACTTGGACAAGGCCAGTTAGTTCCAGGCGAGTGTGCATGCTAGGTCTGAATGTTCCTGGATGGTCCCATCAGACACCTTTCGGCACCCCCATGCCACGGACTTGGCTGGACGTGATATTTATCTCTCTCC